TTTAGCCTACCACTTCAGCATCTTTGCCAAGAGAACCATAAATGCCATGTACCAAAATAAAGTCAAAATGGGTACATGATTTACATATAAAGGCTGATACCATAAGCAAAATGGGAGAGCAAGGAATAGTTTACCTGTCAGATTTATGGAGAACAGAAGAACTATGCCAAACAAGAGATAGAGAACATTATGAAATGCAAAATGGATAATTTGGATTACATTAAATTGAAAAGTTTTTGCCCAAACAAAGCCAATGCAACTAAGATTAGGAGAGAAGCAAAAACTGGAAAAGAAGTCTTACAATCAGTGTCTCTGATAAAGGCTTCATTTCTAAAATATATAGAGAACTGAGTCAAATTTATAAGAATACAAGTCATTCCCCAATTGATAAATGGTCAAAGGATATGAACAGGCTGTTTTCAGAGGAAGAAATTAAAGCTAACTATAGTCATATGAAAAAATGCTCTAAATCACTATTGACTAGAGAAATGCAAATCAAACAACTCTGAGGTACCGCATCACACCTATCAGATTGACCAACATGACAAAACAGGAAAATGATGAATGTTGGAGATGATGTGGAAAAATTGGAACACTAATACATTGTTGGTGGAATTGTGAACTGATCCAATCATTCTGGAAAGCAATTTGGAACTACGCCCAAAAGGCTACAAAAATGTGCATACCCTTTGACCCAGCAAAACCACTTCTAGGTCTGTATCCCTAAAGAAATAAAAAAACAACAAGGAAAAGGACTCACATGTACAAAAATATTTATAGCAACTCTTTTTGTGGTGGCAAAGAATTAGAAATTGAGAGGATGCCCATCAATTGGGGAATGGCTGAACAAGTTGTGGTATATGAATGTAATGGAATACTATTGTGCTATAAGAAATGATGAGCAGGCAGACTTCAGAAAAACCTGGAAAGACTTATATGAACTGATGCAGAGTGAAGTGAGCAGAACCAGGAGAACATTGTACACAGTAACAGTCACATTGTTCGATGACTGACTTTGACAGACTCATCTCCTTTCAGCAATGCAAGGATCCAAGACAGCCCCAAAGGACTCATAATGGAGAATGCTATCCACATCCAGAAAAAGAACTATGGAGTCTGAAGGCACATTATTTGATCTCTCTTTTTTTGTTTGTTTGTTTGTTTCTTCTTTCGTGTGGTTCCTCCTATTGGTTCTACTTCTTCTTTACAACACGACTAATGTAAAAATAGGTTCAGTCTGAATGTATATGTAGAGCCTATATCAGATTGCATGCTGTCTTGGGGTGGGGGGAGGGGAGAGATGAGGAGAAAATTTGGAACTCAAAATCTCATTAAAGTGAATGTTGAAAACTAAAAAAAAAAATTATTAAAAAAAAAGCCAAATGGGATCATGAAGCATTGGATAGTATTGAAAAGGACTTAACAAATGCTTCCAAGTACAGAGAGCACTGAAAAAGATGACCCCAGAGGCCCCAACCCCATCACCCCTCCCCCCACCTTCCCTCCCATTTCTGTAGGGCTTTAGGGTTTAAAAAGCAAAGTTCTATTTTACAGATGAAACAACTGAGGAAGCCCAGAAAGGAGGGGGTGGGTTTCCCCAAAGTCATCCATGCAGTCAGTTGTGTGCATTCTACACCCACCCCATGCCTCTCTGTTCCTATTTCCACTTCTGCTCTCTAGGTCTGTCAGGGAAAGCCCTGCAAGGGGTAAGGGTCAGGTGGGGAAAGCCCTGGTGGGTCCCTAGGGCACTCTGCCCCAGCCTTGGCCCAGCCCTCTCTCAGCCTTGTCCTAGCCCTTTCCCAGCCAGGCTAGAACCCAGGGGTGCCTCCAGATCACTGCTGAGTCACTGGCCCTGACCTCTGACCTGAGTGAGTCACTCAGCAGCCTTCCTCAGCCTCTGGACTCTCCCCAGGATGTGATGAAATGAAAGGAGCCCTGGCTGCTTGAACAGAAGTTCCCCTTCCCCCATTTCCCAGAGGGGATTTTCCCTGGCAAACCACAGGGCCAAAACATATTTGACTCAATAGGCTTGAGGTGATCCTGCCTGTCTTATAGGAGGAAAGGGCTTGCCAGGGTCACCCAGCCAGTTAAGGGCAGAGCAAGAAAGAGACAAGAAGCCAGTGAGGACTGACTCCCATACCAGTGTCCAGTTTGCCACCTCTTGGCACCAAAGGACCAGAGAAGTGCAGGACCCCCAGAGGGAAGGGATCTCAGAGGTGTCTGGTTTACCCTCTCCCTGACCAAGATTCCCTCCACCACATACCTAAGGGGTCAATTTGCCTTTCCTCAAAAATGCCCAGTGATGGGGGCCTCAGCACTTCAGGAGGCAGCACAATAGACCCAACCCCGGCTGCTGCTTTGTACCTTCCCTCTACAGGACTTGGGAATCCTGAGGGGGTCAGGCACAGACCCAATTAATCTCCATCTCCCACTTCCAGAACTGTTCAAATGACCCTGATCAGGCCTGGATGCTCAGAGAGGACCACTGCGTGATTCACCATTCCCAAGGGACTTCAGGGTTCTAACACCTAGGTTCTAATTCAGGTCCTGTCCTTCACTCCCTAGTTGTGTGACCTTGGGTAAACTGAGGTACTTCTCTGGGTCTCAGTTTCTCCCATTATAAAGTGAAGGTATTTAGCTTAGAGATGACTTCAAGTATTTAAAACACTATTATATGGAGAAGTTTTGTTCTGTTTGGCCCCAGAAAAGGACCAGGAATGAGGAAGGGGGGAAGAGAGGAAGGGGAAAGCTATAGAGAGACCACTTTAGACATCACTTAACAGAAAGCTCCCATACAATTCGAGCTGTCCATTAGTGGAATAGACTGCCTAGGGAAATGAGTCACCCATCAATGGAAGTCTTCAACTGAAGGCTGGATGCCCATATCTGGTTCTGGTGGAAGAGACCCTTGTTCAAATGCAGTTCTCTCCAGCCTTAGCATTGGAGTGGCACAGGAGGAAGAGGACCCAGGCTCACTGCCTGCTTCTGCTACTGGCTTCCCTGAGCCGTCAGTTGGAGTTCATAGTAAGGCTCCAATGAGATCACTTCTGTAAAGCCCTTTGATAAATGTAAAAGCTTTCAGAAATGTCCATTCAATTCCAGCAGCATTGGTAGAGCACCTAGCATATGGGCACAGAAGTGAATCGGGTCAAGGAACTGACATTCCTTAGGGGAGATGACAAGGACATATCAAATGCATCCTAAGTAGTTTCTGGGATTCAGAGTCGAGCCTGTTGTCAGGGCAACAGAGTTCTGTAGAACAAAGATGTTCTACAGAAGTCAAAAATCAACCAGTCATTAAGAATTATCATTATTACCCTAGGATTTCCAAGTCCCCTTTCAGTTCTGATTCTCTACAATGGAACTGGCTGCCATTACCCTCCCTTTCCCCTCCCTCCAGGAAGCCTCTGTGACCCCTTCCCATCCCCAGCTGGCTCCTTCACGAGCCCGTTCCCCCTCTGCCCTCCCAAAGTGAGCCAGAAGTGCCAACCCACCCTCACCCATACACTCAGCTCCCTGAGGGCAGGCAGGGCCTTGGGCTGTCCTCTCCACCTCCAGCCTGGTCTAGGGGAAACAGCTGGGCCAGGGAGTAGGAAGGTGAATCAGCCTCCTCCTCTGAGCCCCTTGGATTCCCCTTCTGTAAAAGGGGCAGATGAGGCTAGCTAGCCTAATCTAAAAGCTCTTGATGAAGGGAGCAGAGAACACAGAGGGGGGATGGGTAAATATTTCCTGTCCTCATTGCAGATTTCCGTCTGGCTGGCTGCCTTCCGGTGGGTCTGGATTCGGAGACTTTGAGAAAGCTGCTGGCTCAGCCCCTCCCTCTCTTCCTTTCCTCTCTTCTGCCGGGGCTGAGGTTCCCTCTGGAGCCCTGAGCCCTCTTCTAGTCTGTGTGCCCACTACCTTGGCTTTCTGTTTGACCTGGGCCTGGGAATTGGTGGCTGAGCCCTCCGTCCTCCTCCTCCTCAGCCCAGGCTGTTGGACAGAGGCCTTTGTGGACCTTAAAGTGTTACAGGATCTTTGCTGTGTGGTATTTGCGCTAGCCACCCCCACTTCTTTGGAATGTATTCCTTCACCCCGCCCCTCTTGGAAAGCCTGGCTTCTCTCCAGGCTCAAAGTTCAGTTCAAGCTCCAACTCCTTTTAGATCCTTCCCCCGACCTCCCAGCTGCTGTCCCCATCCCCTCCCCCACTGCCTTACATTGGTTTTGTATGGCCATGTCATCTCCCCTTCAGAGAGTAAGTTGTGTGTGAAAGATCTCCAGATCTCGTCAGCTAGGTGGAGTAGTGGACAAGAGCACTGGCTCTGAAGTCAGGAGGACATGAGTTCAAATCTGGCCTCAGACCAAACACTTGAAACTTACTAGCTGAGTGACCCTGGGCAAGTCACTTAACCCCAATTGCCTTAAAAAAAAAAAAGATTCCCAAATCCTAACAGAGCACACAGTATTTAGCAAGCGTTGGGCTGACTGGGGAACTTGTTCCCTGCCTTGTACATCTCTGTCCACCCACCCCAAATTCTCTCACTGTGGGTGTTCTGCCCAAAGAGAATGTAAATTTTTATCCTTGAAATTTTTTTTTTCTTTCTTAAAGACCAACCTAAACCCTAACTTACTCAGGCTCCTGCAGATTGGCCAACAATGGGTCGCAGGCCAAGCCCTACTTGGTCACTGGGTCCTGACTAGCTCAGAATGAATGTAAATAACAATTGTTTCTGTTTTCGCCAGAAACTCTGAGCGTTTTCCCCTCCCAGATCAATTTTTTTTTATTAGATAGAGGCCATTCTTTGCCTCATTTCTTATTAAACCTTAATCACTGAATTAACATTGCCTCAGTCAAGCTGAGACCTTAGCCTGAAAAGGCCAAGGTCTCCCACTGCATCTGGGGGCCATCTCCAGTCATCCGGATCGATATATGGCCACTGGACCCAGATGGCTCGGGAGGAGAAAGTAAGGCTGGTGACTTTGCACATCTCTCCCTCACTTAAATCCAATTCACTTGCATATCATGGCATCACCTCTATAACTTCATGATCTTCTTCGAGAACAAAGGACAATCAACAATAACACTTTGTTCCTCAAGTTCCTAGGGTCTCAGGCTGTGTTCTTGAGCTTGGGAGAGTAGGGGTCCAAGGCCAAAGTCACCCAGCCTTTGCCTGGAGACTAGATGAAATAGGTGACTGTAGTTAGGAAAGGAAAACACCAAGGACATTTGAAGGAGGCAGCTGGGGTTGGCTATTCCCACTGTCCTTTGTCCTAAAATCAGGGCACACCCAGGCTGACTCTGGGGAGTGGGAGATGCGTGGAAATGAACCCTAAGCAAATCCCTTTCCCTTTTGGGGCCTCAGTTTCCTCAACAGTAAATGCAGAAAGTTGGCTGGCTCCTCAGGGTCTGTTCGCTTCTTTAGCTTGCCTGAAACCCCTTAAGACACACTGGGTCCTGAAGAACACAGAACACAGGAGGCCCAGAGGCTGTGAGTTTGCTTCTGCTCCCCAGGGAAGAGACTTCATGGTCTGAGAGGCTGCCCTAGACTGGTCTGCTTGGCAAAGCACCAGACAGGCAGCCCTACCTCCCTCTGAACCCCAGCAGAACTAAGAGCAATGATGGGGGAAAGGTGGCAGGAAGTGGGAGGGGATGGCAGAGAAGCCAATTAAGCCCAGTGAGCAGTGAGATGCCGGTCCCTGGAGTTAAGCAGAAGATGGATGTTACCAAGGGCTTCTGTTCAGGCATTGGTTAGACAGGCAGGCTTCTCTGAGGCATGACCTACCCTCTCTTCCAGCTCAGCAATTCTGGGACAGCAGGATCTCAGGCAAGACTGGATAGATGGCAGGGGAGTAGGAGAAAGGAGGAAGGAGGAAAGGAGAGTGGAAGCCGACAGGTCTGCTAATGTACTGTAGCCCCATCACCTAGCGACAATGGACACAACACCTAGGCTGGGTTGGGCCAGTGCTCTCATTTCCACGGCTAATGTTGACCAGCTAGCAGGGACCGACCTGGCATGACACAGAAGCAGGTGACTCAGTGCCCCTGGGGAGTTTCAGGGAGCTTTGGGAGTTGGGGGTGGGAAAACCTAGCTCAGCCTCTCTAGGAAGGGTTAGAAAATGAGGGTAGCCTTGGGGTAGGGAGGAGCTCCGGGGGCCCTGAGATTCCTCTTGGGGGGGTACAGAGAAAGAACTGGGGGTAAAGGGCACAGGTGTGCTGGAGATGAGGGGGGAGGAGCTCTGGGGCCCCAAATCCACCTAAGTGGGCTTAGTCCAGGACAGGAGCCCTAACACAAGAGTCAAGTGGGACCCCCCCAGACCATCAATTCGTCTCCTGGTGGGCTCGTTCCTTCATCTGTAGAGTTGAGGGGGTTGGAACGGATGCTCTTTCAGGTTCCTGCCTGCTCCAAATCTATGATTCTAGGTCCAACTCCATTTCGCAGATCAGAAAATAAGTAACATTTCTAAGGTTTGTAAAGAGTTTTACAATATTATCTTTTGACCCCTCACAACAAGCCTGGGAGGTAGACGCTATTATTGTTCCCGTTTTACAGGAGAAACTGAGGCACCGAGAGGGGATTCACGCAGGGTCACACAGGTAGGACCTGCCCACGGTCACAGTGACTCGGGTGGAAGGGGGATCCGGCGGGACTTCCAATCCGGGCCCCGACCCTTACCCCCTCCCCCACCCCAGGCACACCATCGTCCTGCAAGGCCACATCCGCACTAGCCCCAGACTCAGAGAAGAGGCGGGGCCGGGGGCCACCGTGCACGACTCCGGGTCTCGTCGGCAGCCGCCGCTCGCCCTGGCCGGGAAAACACTCGCCGAGGCGGCCAGGCCCGAGGAGGAGGAGGAGGAGGCGGCGGACCCGGCGCGCCTGCGCGGTAGCGGAGACGAACGAGGGACGGTGCGCCTGCGTAATGTGGCGGAGCCGCCTCGCGGAGCCATTGTGTCGGGATCCCGCCGGGGCTCCCTGCTCGGGACTGTTCTGACCCCATCGCGCCGCCCTTCGCTGGCTGCCGCCCTCGGGCCCGGACCTCGGCGTTCCTCGTTGGGCCTAGCACTTTCCTCGCTCCCGGGACACCGTCCTCGGCGGGCCCCTGCGCCGACCTCGGGGGCGTGGTTGGGCCCCGGCCCTGCCCCCGGCGCGCGCTGGGAGGCCGGGCACGCGCAGCGCGCCTTGGAGGCAGTGCTGAGCAGGGCGCTGGAAGGAGCGCGCTACTCGGCGGGCGGGGCCGGGGCGCTGGCGCGCAGCCTCTGCGAGCTGGTGCGCATGCGCGTCCGTGAGCTGTTACCGCCGCGTTACAAGCTGGTGTGTACCGTGGTGGTCGGGCAGCGCTCGGGGCAGGGCATACGCGTGGCGAGCCGAGCGCTCTGGGACGCCGCCAGCGATGGGCACGCGTCCGCGTCTGTGTGCGCAGGCGCGCTCTTCGCCGTGGCAGTGGTGCACGGCGTCTACTGTGAGTGACTGGCGCAGGGCGAGCCCAATAAATAAACCGAGCTTAGAATAAATAAAAATAATTATTGTCATAAATAACGCCTGTGGGGAGGGGGAGGGGGCAGCCCTCCAGGGGCAGCAACACCCCCCTCGGGACAAAGGCCCGGAGGCTGGACCCTGGCGATTGAGGGGCCCAGCTCTTTAAGGTCTCTCTCTTAGTGGGGAGACCACCCCTCAAAACCTCAGGGCTGGGCCCTGAGTCGGGGCAGCACTTCCCCCCAGACCCGCTTCCCTCCCAAGCCAGCTGGGACAGGTTCTGGAGATAGCCCTGGGGGGGCTCTGGTCCGTGATCAAGGCCCCCCCCTTCCCCCGCTAGCCTTCGAGTGTCCGCAGGAGGGCGGCCAGGCAGGCCCCCTAGGCCCCGCTGCGCTGTCGAAGCAGGCGCAGGACGTAGCTGAGCCGCAGCCGGAGGTCCGGTGTGCAGCCGAGCCTCTGCAGGTGAGGGGCTTGGTAAGTGCGGGCCTGGCGGTCCCGGGTCACAAAGGTGATGAGCAGGGGCTCCCAGCCGCTCAGGACCAGCTTGATGTGGTCCAGGTAGAAATTCACCTGTGTGGTCAGGGTGGGTGAGGGCCTCTCCTGGCAATGCAGCCCCTCCCTCCTCTGCCCTCAGCCCTGCCTGGCTCACCTGCACTGTGCCATCGCTTAACAGGAGAAGCAGGGCCTGGTCAGTCTTGACCCACTGCAGGAGCAGGGCTGTAGGGCCCTCAGCCTCATCCATGCTGGGCAGGTCACCACCCTAGGGCAGACAGATACGTGGTTAGGTCAGGCCTCTTCTGGGGTGGCTGATTTGGCTCAACCTTTCATTTCTCAAATGAAATCTCTAGGTCCCAGGCAGCAGAAGGGAATTGCCCAAAGACACCCAGGTGCGTGAACTTCACACCTCACCCTGTACCCTGACCCACCTTCATAAGGTTCTGGTCCATGTAGGAGGCAAAGTATCGAAGGACCCCAAGTTGGCCCTGCAGCTGCTGAGGGACGGCCTCCACAGGGAAGGAGAAGTGTTTGGTGTTGGTTGGGTTGTAATGCACTGTCCTGGGGAAAAGTAGGGGTCAGGCTGCTGCTGTCAGAGCTGAGAGGACCTCAGAGAACAGTGTAGGCAGAGCTGCTTTTTACATATGGGGAAACCGATAGCCTTCCCCGAATCCTCCAGTAGGAAGGAGCCAGAATGGGGTCTGAACCCAGGGATTTTTCCCCAGTAGAAGGGAGTACTCACTTCCTGCTGGAGGACAGGGCCATGTGTGTGCCATCATTGAAGAGGACGGCCACCCGCCGGCTGGACAGCTGGTAGCCGAAGCCGTACTTGTTGGAGTAGTCCACCCACTTGCTGACCCACAGCAGGTGCTCTGATGAGGCCAGGGGTGCTGGGTTTTGCTTGGCTGGGGAGGGGGAAGGATTAACAGAAAGGGTCAGGGGACTGCCCTGACTCCACAGGCTTCCAGAGATGGCCCGCCCTCTGCCCTTCCTCTTTCCCTGAGCAGACACCTCCAGCCCCAGATCTTGCCCACCCTCACCAGGTACCTGGGGGCATGAAGGCCAGGCAGTTGCGGAGGGCACATAGGGCAGACTCCATGACTGTGGCTGCCGTCAGACACTCCTCAGACCCTGGCAATGTGTGTGGGGGGGAAATGAGGGCTCAGAACAGTTTCTCAGGCTGCCCTAAACCAGGGCACCCCTGGGAACTTCCCCTCTTCCCCCAGCTCACCCTCACAGCTGCTGCCCATGGCTGCCAAGGACCTGGGGGAGCCCTCCTCAGGGGCAGATTCTGCTAGGCTGGGGGCGCCATCAGTCTCCTCCTGGGGAGAGAGGGAGAAAGTAATATGGGGGCAGGGCAGGTGAAGAGGAGAGACAGCCCTCCCCAGCCACTCCCTGTTATTGACCTCTGGGGTCCCTGACTATGATGGTCACGCCCACAGCCAGGGCCTAATGAGGCAAAGGCAATTAGGCTAGGAGGAAGCTGGACGCTGCCAGGCCCCTTTCATCCCAGGGTGCTTCACCCAGCAGCAGAGGGGTGAGTCAGGCTGGGTCACCAAGGTCAGGAGGGCCAAAGGCACCTGCCCCCACACCCCTGACTCCCCTCCTCACCTGGGCAAGCCTTGGCTCCTTGAAGCTACTCTGAGGGCAGATGGAGGTAAGCACAAGGTCACTGACGAGGCGGGAGAGATTGTCCTGCTCCTGGAGGGCAGTCTTACCTGGGCACGAGAGGCACCAGAGCATTGTTGCTCTGCTCTGCCCAGGGCTCCCCACTGCTCTCCCCCTCTCCTCTCTCCTCCCCTAACCCTCCATGGCTCTCCAGCTCCCTGCTGCCCATCACATCCGACTTACTCTTGTTCTTCTTGCGGCCAAAGAGGCTCTTGGTCACTTTAGTAAAGAGGCTTTGGGCAGGGCTGGGGGGGGTCAGGTCAGGGACTGTGGTGCAGCTGCTGGGGGGCAGTTGAGCCGGGGTATAGCCCTGAGAAAAGAGGAACAGAAGCCGTAGCATCAGATGGGGCCCTGGCACCAAAAGGCTCCAGAGACAGACTGGGCAATGTCACCTGGGCTGGGTACAGACCTTGGTGAAGAATTCATGCTGAAGGATCTCCTCCAGTGAGGGCCGGTCTTGGGGCATGGGGCGAAGGATGGCGGCAAGGAGGTGTCGGGCAGACACAGAGAGGTAGGTGGGCAACTTGTACTGAACCTGCTTGATGCAACGGTACGTCTCCTTCAGGTCAGCCGTCTCAAAGGGGGGGTTCCCACACAGCAGTGTATACCTGGAGGGGGGGCAGCCAGGGGCCATGAGCTCAGTAGGCTCTCATCTTGAGCCTTATTCCAACCCCAGGAAGACCTGGCTTCCCAAAAGTGCCTGAGCCCTATGCCCTCCTTCTCTCCCCAGCCCAAGCCCCCTTGGGGGGTACACTTACATGACACAGCCCAATGACCACACGTCAGACTCGGGGCCATGACCCTGGCGCAGCAGCACCTCAGGAGCCAGATAATTGGGGGTCCCACATATGGTCCTGAGGGCACAGAGGGGAGGGCTCAGAAACAGCTAGGGCCACGTGGGGCCTTTGGTCTCCTAAGTTAGAACTGCCTGCCAGAGCCTTATCCTTCCAGCTGGCCCTTCCCCCACAAGCCCAGCAGGCCTTGCTCTGTGCTTTGGGGGTGGGGTGGGGGGAAATGTTTGAAAGGATACAACTGCCTGTCCCCCCCCGCCCCCCCCCCCCCCCCCCGCCCGGCCCATTCCTAGCTGGGAACAAAGACCCAGACTGTCTCCAGGTCCCAGATAACACCCCCTTGTCCCAGGGACAATAGAGGGCCATTAGAGACAGAAGGCCACACTCCCAGCTGGTCCCCCAGGCCCCTCTGGCTAAGAAGGGGCTTCCCCAAGACCCCTGCCACCTACTTCTTCCTCCGATCCTGAGGTTCCAGCCGAGAAGCCAGTCCAAAGTCCCCAAGCTTCAGTTCCATGTTCTCCGTGATGAAAAAGTTTCCTAAAGGCCGAGAGTCAGCAGGGGGGTTAGGGATGGGGCACAGGCTGCCTGACCCATGGTTGGTTCTCCCTCTCCTGCCCCTCGCTTTGGTTTTTACACCCTCAGGTACCCGTGAAGGGGAAGTAAGACACAACTCCCTCCTGGAAGTGGCCCTGAACATTCTCTGGGCCTAGCCCAGCCCCAGCTGAGCTGGGGTCCCTCTCCTGAGACTCACCCAGCTTGAGGTCTCTGTGGAGGACCCCTCGTTGGTGCAGGTAACGCAAGCCAGCAATAACCTGTCGAAGGTAGTACCGGACCTCGGGCTCCAGAAGTGTGTGCCTGGCCTTCCAGATGTGTGCCAGTGACTAGTGGGGGAGAAAACTGTCAGGAACCTTAACCAGGGAATTAGGGAAGGTAGGGGGCCATAGTAGAGAGCCTCATACCCTTGTTCCGCCTTGGGGCTTCATTTCCCTCTCTGTGAAACAAAGGAGCTCCTTCCCATTCTGGCCACTTTGTGGCTCTGGGATGAAAAGGGAACTTGCCTTCCTTTTCTTTCTTTAGGGAGGTTGGGAGGAAAGTTTGGGATGGGAGTTTTTCAGGAGGCCAGCAGGCTAGAAAAACAGCCCATTGGTCTGATCAGGTCCCCCTGACTCCCATTATCCAAGGGAGAGTCCTCACACGGCTCTCAGGATGCTGGAACAGCAGAGCTAAAAGGGCCCTTTGAGCCTAGCTGCCCCAACTCCGATAGGAGAAGACTGTGACCCAGAAAGTGGCCTGGCCTCGGCCACGACCCTGAGTTTCAAAGTCAGGACTCAGGCCCTGTTTAAACTGACAGCCCAGCCCCTCTGGATAACAACCATCACCCCCACACCCCTACTAGCCCCTCCATGGATGGTTGGAGGAAAGAGCACCCTTAATTATCCTCTGCTTTGTCCTCTGAAACTTAAACCCTCTGCTGGGCCCCCAACCTTTCGACTGCAGTACTCCAGAAATATGTAGATGTTGCCTTCATCCTCAAAGTGGTGCGAAAAGCGAACGATGTGACGGTGGTGGAGGCTTCGATGCAGAGCGATTTCCTGAAGGATCTAGGAGGGGAGAGAGGGGCTACTCTGGCCACGGGCTCCTCCTCCTCAACCTCCACCCCTCCCCTTCTCCAGGACCAGTCCCAGACCAACTAGAAACTACATTCGTCCCACCTGACTTACCTTCTCTCTCTGGTGTGGTTTGGCCACCCGGCTCTGGGGAATGACCTTGACCGCGTAGGTATGGCCACTGCTGGTGTCCGTGGCTTCATAGCATCTTGCGAAGCCCCCCTGGATCGGGAATGGGGAGGCTGTCAGGGAGCTGGGGTCCTCACTTAGCCGGCCCCGCCTCCCTATTGCTGACTCAGTCTCCCCTCCCTGACGGCAAAGAGCCTACTTTTACAGCCCGAGATCCTCCCCACGGTCCCAGGGCTCAGATCCGTGGTCTCGCCCCTTCCCCTTACCCCTACTCTACCTTGCCCAGGAGGCGGCCCCGGTGGTAAGTGCGGCCACTCTGCGGG